CCAGGGCCAGACTGGGGCTCTCTGGGGCTGAACCCCGGCTTTGACTGGGGTAACGGGTTCTGCCCCCTCCCCCTTTCTCTGCCCCCCACCCCCACGCTCCCCAGCCGGAGGGGGCCTGCCTGCTGCAGGAGAACCGGGCCCTGCGGGCCAAGCTGGCTCTGGTAGCCCCAGGACCGAGCAGAATGTGCCCCGCCTGCCACCGGTGAGAGGAATACCAAGGGACCTCACTCAGCCACACCCCCACCAGCATCCCTGTGGGGCAGAGGCCAGGGGACCTTGCTTATCATAAGTGGGGGGGACAGGGAGCTTTGGCTCAATTTGGGGAGTGAGATCAGGGCTTTTGCCTCTGCAAGGGAAGGGGTGCTGGGCACCAGTGGGCAGGAGGGGTGGCACCTGCCCTCAGATGGAAAGATGCACCCCTGAGTCCTGGCCCCTGCTGGTACATCGAGTTTCTATGTCTGTCAGAATTAATATTAATAGTGTTCCCCAAGGAGTGTGAATGGTGGGCCACAGCACCTATTGCAGCTGCAGAGGGGGGCCTCAGGGAAAATGTCTGGGACCCCCTGGTCTAGGCCAGCCCCCACTGGCCTCAGGGAAGCCCTGCCAAGCAGCCAGACTCTCTGGAGGGTTTCCAATCAGCAAAAGCTCCCCTCTCGGATCCACATGGCGGGTGGCGGCTGCTCTGGGAGCTGTGTGGATAGGAACATCAAGGGAGCGAATGGCTCCCCTCAGGGCAGGAGAACAGGCTAGCAGAGCTGGGCCCTATGCTGTGGGGCTGGGGGCTCAATGCGCTCTGGGCCCTGCCCCCGTCTGTCTAGCTGGGAGGTGCTTCTATGGCCCTCAATATGGGAGTCCCTCTGCTGATGCCCCTCAATCCCTAACCACTGCCCCCTGCTACCCCAGCCCTGGGGTGTGTCCCCCAGCTCTGCCGGTGCCCCTCAGTCCTGACCCACAGCTCCCTGCTGCCCCAGCCCTGGGCTCCCCCACTCCACTCTGCCGGTGCCCCTCAATCCCTAACCACTGCCCCCTGCTGCCCCAGCCCTGGGGTGTGTCCCCCAGCTCTGCCGGTGCCCCTCAATCCTAACCCACAGCTCCCTGCTGCCCCAGCCCTGGGCTCCCCCACTCCACTCTGCCGGTGCCCCTCAATCCTGACCCACAGCTCCCTGCTGCCCCAGCCCTGGGCTCCCCCACTCCACTCTGCCGGTGCCCCTCAATCCTGACCCACAGCTCCCTGCTGCCCCAGCCCTGGGCTCCCCCACTCCACTCTGCCGGTGCCCCTCAATCCTGACCCACTGCCCCCTGCTACCCCGGCCCTGGGGTGTGTCCCCCAGCTCTGCCGGTGCCCCTAAGTCCTGACCCACAGCTCCCTGCTACCCCAGCCCTGGGCTCCCCCCCCAACTCTGCCGCTGCCCCCCAATCCTGACACGCAGACCCCTGCTACCCCAGCCCTGGGCCCCCCCCAACTCTCACTCTGCTGCTGCCCCTCAAACCCCGACCCGCAGCCCCCTACCCCCACTGTTCCATCTTACTGTGAACCGTAACCTCTCTGCGACCTCCCCACTGGTGCCAGGGCTCCCCGGTGCAATCAGCCCCAGCATTAGCAGCCCTGTTAGTGCGGGCACTTTGCATAATCCTCCCAGTGTTAGCACAACAAAGGGGCTGGGGCTGGAGGGCGAGGGGAGCAAACTGGGCCAAGGGGAATCCAGGGGGTATCTCGGGGGAAACGGCCCACCAGGGAGGGGGGTCGGAGCATGGCGCAGTTCCCCTAGGGAAGGTGGGAGCCTGGGCGCAGCACTGAGGAAACCACGTCTGGGGAGGGTCCTAGAGTCATAGATCAGGGTTGGAAGGGACCTCGGGAGGTCAGCTAGTCCGACCCCCAACGCAGGGTCCTCCCGGACCTCACAGGCTTTGCCACTTGGGATTTCTGCCGTGGAGCCAATCACCCCAAAACACAGACGTGAGGTGCAGACCCGGCCCGGCCCGGCCCAGACCCTGCCTGAGAGCAGGGTGAGCGGCCAGCTCCAGCCCCATGCCTCAGCCATGAAAGCACAGCGCTCACCCGGGGGGACTCCAAACACTGCACCCCCTGAGGGCTGGAGGCATCTCGCCCCAGGGCTGCTGCGCTACCCCAAGGGGAGAAATGGCTGAATGTAAAGGGTTAACCCTTTCGTTGCTGATTGCTGGAGAAGAAACACCCAGGCAGTAGGAGCAGATATTCCCCTCCCACTGCCAACCTCCTCCCTGACTCCCTCAGCTGGGGAATCTCCCAGGAGACACTTAGCCACGTGTTGAGGACCTGGGGATCACCAGCACCAGGATCCACCTGGGGAAGGGCGGGGAAGCTCGTAGCGTGAGCCTCTAGCTCAGTGGTTCTCAGCCTGCGGCCCGCGAGCCCCCTTCCAGCCCAGTCAGCTCAGAGCTGCGGCCCATGGGACATCCTCAGGGCCATATCTGTAGTATTGGATGCATCCCACAGAACACATTCTGGCCCACCTACGTGGCCCACAATGGTAACTGGGTTGAGAACCGCTGCCTAGCTAATCGGTGATGGACATGCCCAAAGCCGGCCCACAACGGTTGCTGCCCTGACTATAAGCTCACCCCCTAAGCAGGGCGAGGCCTGGTCAAGGTCTGGATGGGAGATGTCCAAAGAGAGGGTGCATCCCACCTTGAGCGGGGGGGGGGGGAGCTGGCAGGGCTCAAAGGCATGGGAACATGCCCTCCTGCTGAATCTCAGGCAAAGGGCCAGGCCCCTCCCTCGACGACAGTGATGCCACCCCCCAGGAGTGCAGAAATCATGAGATTGGCTTAAAAATCCCGAGATCTTCAAAGCCAAACACCCGGCCTCCGGGTTCCGAGCCTCCAGGGCTCACGCAAGCCTCAGGGCCCAAACCCTGGGAGCAGCAGGCTCTCTCGCCCCCATGTCCTCCCATCCAAACCCCGTGGGGAGAAGAGCCGGGCCTGTGGCTGACGGACAAGATGGTTCGGGCATGGCAGGACAGGGGCCCTGCTTTGCCACAGGACTGCGGTTCCCTGCCTGGACCTGCCTCCCCTCCATGGCAGCGGGCTGGCGGGTTTTATGCCTCTGGCTTCGTGTGGGCATGCGGCCAGTCAATGCCCAGTGGCATCAGGAAAGCCTTGCTGGCAGCTCCGGAGTCCTGCACGTCTCCATGGCCCAGCACCCAAGCGCATCCCCGGGTGGGAGACGGGAACAGCAGGGCTGGGATAGGATCCCAAGGGGTAGAAATAGCTCCTTTGGGTCCCTGCCAGGGCCCCAGCTCAGGGCTGTGCCTTGCAGGCCCTTCAGTGATGGGGCTTCCCCTAGGACAGGGAGTGGGAGGATGGGTGGCCCAGTGGTTAGGTGCTAAACTAGGTTCTGCAACCAGCTCTACAGACTCCCCTTCGTTTCTCGCTGCCTCGGCTGCCGCCCCAGCCCACGGGGAGACGGGGAGGCTAAATCTCTCCTGTGATTGCCAGGCGGCTGGATACCACAGGGAGAGGGGGCTGCTGCCTGAGCAGCCAGAGACTCCCGTCAGTGCCCCACAGGGTCTGGAGCCCTCCTTGGGCGTGGTTCTTGCTATTCAGCCTGCTTGAGTTGATGACATTCAGTAAGGATGAATGCAAAGTGCTCCACTTAGGAAGGAACAATCAGTTGCCACATACGCAATGGGAAATGACTGCCTAGGAAGGAGCACTGCAGAAAGGATGAGGAGTGGGTGTCATAGTGGATCACAAGCTAAATATGAGTCAACAGTGTAACACTTGCACACAAAAAAAAGAGAGAGAGAGAGCACACATTCTGGGCTGTATTAGCAGGAGTGTTGTAAGGAAGACACAAGAAGTAATTCTTCCACTCTGCTATGTGCTGATTAGGCCTCAGGTGGAGGATTGTGTCCAGTTCTGGGCGCCACATTTCAGGAAAGATGTGGACAAATTGGAGAGAATCCAGAGAAGAGAAACAAAAATGAGTAAAGGTCTAGAAAACATGACCTCTGAGGGACGATTGAAAACACTGGGTTTGTTTAGTCTAGAGAAGAGGGGACTGAGGGGGGACATGATAACAGTTTTCAAGCACATAAAAGGTTGTTACAGGAGGAGAGAGAAAAATTGTTCTCCTTGACCGCTGAGGACAGGGTCAGAAGCAATGGGCTTAAATTGCAGCGAGGGAGGTTTAGGTTGGACATTAGGAAAAACTTCCTAACTATCCTGGTGGTTAAGCACTGGAATAAATTGCCCAGGGAGGTTGTGGAATCTCCATCGTTGGAGAAGTTTAAGAGCAGGTTGGACAAACACCTGTCAGGGCTGGGCTAGATAGTTCTTAGTCCTGCCAGGGAGGTCCCGTCCAGTCCTACGAAGCTATGATTCTTCCTGGCATCACCCCGACTCATGGCTCCTAGGCCCCCCACCCAACACCCTAAACTAGCCAGGCCAAGCCCTGCCCTGTTCCTGTACCAGGCCTCACTCTGCCCACCGGAATCTCAGCTCATCTGCAGCTGCTTGTCACCCCTGTGCCCAATACCATGGCGGTGCCCCAGGATGGCAGGTGCCCACCCAGCCAGGCGGGGTCACCCCAGAGCCAGGCAGGGCAGGAGGCTCTGGCTGGGGGTGGCTCCCCCCCCCAGCAGCGCTGTCTCAGGCCCCATTGTGCTGAGCTGCAGGGTGAGCTGTGGAGGGGAGGCAGGGGCCACTTCTCACCTCAATCAACCCAGGGCCGCCACCTCCCGCCTCCTCCCAAAGCAGAGCCAGCGCCCAGCCCCTTCCCCTGGGCCGCACCCCAGCCGGGCTGGCTCCAGCGGGGGGCGAGCCGCCCATCTGCATGACAAAGGCCGCGATGGCCACTGAGAGCCCCTAATGCGCCCACCTGAGAGCTCCCAACAGCCGCCGCGGGCGCCTGGCCTCCCTCTTCACACGCTCCGGGCGCCTGGCCGGGACGGACGGACCCAGCCCCCGCGGAGCAGCCCTCGGGCCCCGCCGGCCACCCCACTGCCCAGCCCAGCGCCATGGAGCAGACGCCGCCGAAGAAGAAGAAATACAGCCGGCACCGCAAGCCGCCCTACACCTACCTGGCCATGATCGCCCTGGTGATCCAGGCCTCGCCGGGCAGGAAGCTGAAGCTGTCCCAGGTACGGGGCCCCCCGCCCGGGACAGCTGCGCCCTCCTGGCCGGGCAGCGCAGCGCGCAACTCGCCACGGCCCGGATCGGGGCCCCTGGGTGGTTGGTGCCCCCGGGAGGAGACCCCCGCCCTGAACCAGTGACCCCGGACCGCAGGCTGCAGTTCCCTCCTGGGGTGCCCTGTAGGAGGTTGTGGGGCGGGGACCCAGCGTAGGGTCACCGGTCCCGGGGTTAGCTCCGCTCCAAGCGTCTTGCCGTCTGCCTGCGGGCTGGGGGGCATCGGCTGGGTTTGGGGGGGGGGCTAGGGTGGATTGGCGGCAGGGGCGATGTGGTTTTGGGGTGGTGGGGCAGTGGCTGCGGGGCGATAACTGGTTTGGAGAAGGGGAAGGGGGTCGTTGGGGGGGTCACTGGTTTGGGGTAGGGATGGGGTGGTAGGGGGAGGGGGGTCACTGGGTTGAGGGGGTGGAGGTGTGGGGGTCACTTGTTCGGGATGGGGGGAGAAGGTTTGGGGCGGTCACTGGTTCGGCGTGTGGAAGTGGGGGGTTTCTAGTTCAGGTTAGGGGATGGGGTTGGGTTCAGGGAGGGGGGTCACTGGTTCCGGGTGGAGGTGGGGGTCACTGGTTCGGGGTTTTGGTGGGTGTTTGGGGTCACTGGTTTGGAATGGTTCCGGGTGGGCGGTCAGTGGTTTGGGGTATGAGAGAGGGTTGGGGGGGGTCACTGGTTCGGGGGAGGTGAGAATCACAGGTTTGAGGTGAGGGGATGGGAGGTGGGCTCAGTAATTTGGGGGTGGGGAAGGCGGGAGAGAAGGTTTGGGGGTCACTGGCTCGGGGAGAGGTGGGGGTCAGTGGTTCGAGGTGGGGAGATGGGGTGGGGGTCACTGGGAGTCACTGGTTGGGGTCAGGGAGGGGTGCGTGAGGGTCCCCCAGGAGGGATCGGCCCTGGGGTCTGCTCCTCCCGCGGCCAGGGGCTCTCACGCCCCGTCTCTCGGTTTCAGATCATCCAGGAGATCGGCGCCCTCTTCCCCTTCTTCACCGAGGGCTACCAGGGCTGGAAGGACTCCATCCGCCACAACCTGTCCTCCAACCGCTGCTTCTCCAAGGTGAGCGCTGGGCCGGGGCCACAGACACCGGGGGCAGGGGTGGGGTGGGGTGATGGGGCTTTGGGGGGCAGACTGGCGGTGGGGTGATGGTGTTGGGGTATGGTGGGCAGGCTGGCAATATTGGGGGTAGGGATGATGGGGAATGGGGGTCAGCCTGGCAGTGGGGGGGATAAACAGGACATGGGGGGCAGACTGGCAGTGGGGGTGGGGTTAATGGGCTATGTGGTGACAGGCTGGCAGTGGGGAGGATGACAGGACATGGGAAGCAGGCTGGCAGCGGGGGGTGGGGTTAATGGGGCATGGGGCAGGCTGGCAGGGTAGGGATGACAGGTATGGAAGGCAGGCTGGCAGTGGGGGTGGTGGAGATGATGGGGTATGGAGGGCAGGCTGGCAGTGGGGGTGGTGGAGATGATGGGGTATGGAGGGCAGGCTGGCAGTGGGTGGGGTAAACAGGAAATGGGGGGCAGGCTGGAAGTGGGGGGTGGAGTTAACGGGGAATGGGGCAGGCTGACAGGGTGGGGAAGATTGGGTATGGAGGGCAGGCTGGCAGTGGGGGGGTGGGGATTATGGGGTGTGGGGATGACAGGGGATGGGGTCAGGCTGGCAGTGAGAGGGGTAAACAGGAAATGGAGGGCTGGCTGGCAGTGGGGGGCAGGCTGACGGGGGGGGTGTCTCTGACTCTGGGGAGCTCTGTCCCTGGAGACCTCCCCCCTCCCACAGGTTGAGCCCGTCTCGCTCTCTCCCCGGCAGCTGCTGAAGGATCCCGCGAAGCCCAAGGCCAAAGGGAATTTCTGGACAGTGGACGTGAGCCGGATCCCCCCAGAAGCCCTGAAGCTGCAGAACACGGCCATCTCCCGGCAGGAGGCGGCCTCCTTCGCCAGCGACCTGGCCCCCTTCATCCTGCACGGGCAGCACTACAGGGGGGGCCCCCAGCAGATGCTGCCTGCAGCCAGCGTGGGCGCTAGAGTTCCCGCACCTGGGGCCGATCCAGAGACTCAGGCCCCGCAGGCCAGGCCCCAGCTGGACACTTCCTTTTCCATCCAGTCCCTGCTGCAGAACCTGCACAAGGTGGACTTGAACGAGCAGCCCGGGGGTCAGGGGTTGCCCAGGCTGGGGAGGTCTCTGCACCCGGAGTGCCAGGAGCCCTCTCCCTTCCCGCTTCCTTCCCCCGCTGCGCTGAGGGCCCCTGGCAGCCCCAGCTACCCCTCCAGGGGCCCTGGCATCCCAAGGACTCGCTCCTCCTCTGCCTCGACGCTGCCCTTGGATGAAAAGAGCCCAGGCAGCCCACAGCCCCCGGCTCTGGGCAAGTGCCCCCAGCTGCTCCATGCCTTCCCGAGCAGCAGCTCCGACTCAGAGGGTTCCACGTGCCGCACCCCGCCAGTGTCCCCCATGCACCAGCTCCCCCCCCTCCTACGCTATGGGCCTGACCCCGCTCATCCCCACTTGTTTTGCCTTTCCCCCCATCCCCGGGCTGCCCTACCTCAGCTACTGCCCCGCTGCCTACGTCAGCCCAGCCTACTGGGACCTTGTGCCCCAGCCCTTGCCAGCGGCCCTTCCCCCACTGCTGGGCGTCCCCATGGACCTGGACAGCGCCCTCCCGGCCCTCCCGCAGCAAGGCCAGACACGCCCCTCCCACGGCGCCTCTGCCCTGGCACACCCAGCATCTGGTGCCCCCCCAGTACGGGGGGTTCTGAGGGACACGGGGGCAGCCCCTTTCCGGCGGGGCAGCAGCGCGGCTGCTGGGCGATGGCTGATGCTAAACGTGCAATAAAGGCCAAAAGCTGGGAAAGGGCAGCTCCCCACCGGCCCTGCCCCAGAGACCAGCCCCTCCCGAGCCCCTGACCTGCACCACGCAGCCTGCAGGCCCAGCACGCAGCGTGGCCTAGCCGCGGGGGTTAGGTTGCAGCGGTGCGTGCTGCAGCATGGCCCAGGAGCCTTCCCAGGGGAGCAGGGCCCAGAGCCGGGGCTGGGGCAGCCCGGGCCAGCCCTGCCCCTCCTCCGGCCAGCCCCAGTGGGAAAGTGAGCGGGTGGGGTGGAGACCGTGTGGGGGGGTATGCGTGTAAAGTGTGTGCACACACGCACAGCTATGAATAAAGGTGAATGGAGACTTGGCCGTGCCGCTCACTGTGCTGACCCCATCACCTGCCCCTGCCCTACGCTGACCCACAGCCTGCTCCCCCCAGCTCCCTGAGCCCGTCCTGTTCCAGCCCCAGGTCCATCTGCTACTCACTACGGGGTGGGGGGATGGGAGCAATGTGAGGGCAACCGCAGGCAGCAGTAGGGGTGGGGGGCTTCACCATCTGCCCCCTGCTGTGCTTGGCAACCCCCCCCCCCACCCCCCATGAGTGCGGGAACCCATGTCAGGAAATACAAAGCCTAACCCCTCTGCCAGGGCACAGGAGCATGGGCTGTGAGAGTGTGTTTGGGGCTGGGCCCCACCAGTTGGGGGCCCAGGACTACCTGTGGGGATTGCAGAGGCTGGGGACAGCAGGTTCTTTGCTCTGGCAAGTGGGGGTGGGGGTGGGGGGAGGCCACAAACTGGCTGAGGATGCAGGAGACACAGGGTCCCGTGGGAGGCAGGGAAGAGGTGGGAGGGGGAGGGACGTCTCAGAGCTGGGCCCCTCACCCTAATAAGGCAGCATCAAGAACAGGCTGGGGATGCAAAGGTTCCTCTTTATTGCACCCAGCGGGAATAGGGCTCAAGTAGCACAGACACAGCCTGGGGGCCCCAGCCCTCCCCCAGCAGCCCGACTGCCAGGGGCGCAGACCTGGGGACGGGGCATGAAGGGCCTCTCCCAGCAGGCGGTGGGGCAGGAGCACTGGCTGGGAGGGGAGTGCCCAGCTACTCCAGCAGGGGGCAACTGCAGGGAGTGGGGCAGCACCGGCTATGGGGGGGCTCCTAGCTATTCCAGCAGGGGGTGCTGTGGAGGGGGCCAGCAGCGTGGGCATGAGGATGCCTCCCTCCAGGCTATTGCACTAATTAACTCCTTGCACAGAGCTCGGGTTCGAGGAGCGGCGGGGAAGATGAGTCCTCCGTGATCTCCCCCAACATGGGTGGCCGGGGGGATGTTGGTGCACATTTGCCTGGCTTTGCATATGCATTCAGACATGCGTGTGCGGAGGAGCATGCGTGATTGTTCAAGCCAGTGACTGCTCAGCAATTGTCAGGCAGTATGTGGGGGCATTGCTGTGGGGTGGGGGCAAGGCCCTGCTGGTCTCCTATTTGCCCATTCGGAGGGCAGGGTGACTCTCTGTGTGCTTTACACACACGCAGGGAGCATGCCCTACCGTTATGATAGGGCCTACAATAACAGTTGCAGGGTGGGAGCCCATTGTCCCACACAGCTTTCCTCTGTCATCGAGGCCAGCAGAGGGGAGCACAGTGTGGACAAGGGCTGCCAATACCCAGCACGGGGGGCTGGGCGACCTGTACTACAAGGGTAATGGGCGGGGGCACGTCTCCTAGTCCGAATGGGCCCAGAGTGGTCCTGCTCAGGGCAGGTGTCTGGCCTGAGAGGGGCCCCATGGCTGGAGGAAATCACAGCCCAGCTGCCGAGCTGGGGACAGTGTGCCGGGGTACCCGCTAGTGGGCAGAGGGAACCAGCATAGCACGGTCAGCCCAGGCCAGGCTCTTCCCTTCCCCTGCTTCTCTGCCCTGTTGCTGGGCTTAGGGCCAGGGCTCCACCCGCAGCCTGGTGTCTGGGACCAGACGCCCCCACTGCCCCATGGATGCGCTGGCTGTTGCATGTGATTGCTCCCTCCCAGCTGACGGCCGCTGCCTACCCAGCCCCAGTGCCTCCTTGCTGTACCACAGCTGGAGAGAGGTGGGGTTGCTGCCTGCATCTTGGGCCCGGGGACGGGGCCAGGCAGGCTCAGAGCTCGCTCCGGCCCCAGGAGTCGATCCTGCGGGATGCTGGGCCCAGCTCCACCTTGCAGACGCGCTGGGCGAACTTCAGGGAACACATGGTCTCCCCCGCGTTCTTCTCCAGTAGCGAGATCTGGGGGGGAGAGATGGACGGAGTAAGGGGGCCTGGTTAAAATAACCCGCTTTCACCACCAAGGGGTAGCGGGCCCCATCCCCCAGAGTCCTACCCCCACACAGGGGTCCCTCATCACGGTAATAACGGATGTGGGTGCTGAGCCGCCCTCTCGGTGGGGGGTGCGGGGGTGGGACGACATGGCCTCGCTGCTCAGCCGAGCAGGAACTAATCGAGCCCTCCGCGATCCCTGTATCATCCTGGGCTGGGAAGTCTGTTAATCAGCAGCGTTCTCCCTACTGGTCAGAGGCAGCAGCACGGGGTGAAATAATGTAGGCCCTACACAAACAACAACGGTTATTCCCCCTTTTCTCTGTCACAGAATGGCGAATTTCCATGAGGCATTTCGGGTGCAGCAGCTCACACGCGGGAGATGTGGCCTGTGGAGCCCCAGCATGCAGTGCGGCCATTCCCCAGCATGCCCCGGGCTCGGCGGTACCTACCTGCACCATCATTACAGTCTTGTTGCCCTTGCCCAGGGAGTCCTGCAGCAGGTAGGTGAGCTTGGAGTTGCGGAAAGGCACGTGGCCCTGCTTGGCTCTGAGGGCCTGGATCACCTCCCCCAGGGCCAGCAGGGACTTGTTAATGTTCTGAGCTTCCTTCAGCCGCTCGCCCTGCGCCCCCGACTTCCAGACCCGCTCAGAACCTGCCAGGTCCACCAGATTCAGCTTCCCTGGGGTGCCGGAGACACAAGAGGAGAGTCTGGGCTTTGTGCGGCAGGCTCCGGGGAGCCAGGCAGGGCTGGGTCTGCCAGGAAGGGGCCAGGTGTGGGGTGCTCTTGGGGGAGCCACAGCCCCTCCCTGCCCACCCTCCAGATCCCCTCGTTCCCCCTCCAGCTGGCACTGGACCCCCAGCACCGAACCACACCTAACACTGCCCCACAAAGAGAGGAGAGCCAGATTTTCAAGCGGGGATCTCTCCATTCTGGGAGCACAATTTTGCACCAATGGTGATAAATCTGAGTCTGCAATTCAGACCACAAAAGCCACTGCCCTGCGGGGACAGCCTGGTACATTGATCACCCAGCGACCTGAACTGCACCCGCAGACTATTATGGGGCCGTGAGTTGTGGCTGTGAAAACAGAGGCCAGCACCCTAGGGCAAAAGGGTGTCCCTAATGCTGGGTGGTTAATAAACACCCTCCTCCCACCCCACCCCCCACGATGCTGACCATGGCCAAGCGTTCAGAGACTGCAGGTGGGAGGCTGGCGGTTCCCTCCCTGGGTCTCGGTCACTTGGACAAGGACAGCAGCCTGGTCAGTTCCACCTTGTTTCTCGTCCATTTCACTGTCAGGGGCTCATGCCCTAGCACAGGGCTGCAGTGTTGGGCCCCTGCCAAGGGGATGAGTGTTCAGCCTCTCAGCCCCTGGGGGGCCGTCGTTTCCTGCGCATACTTCCAGCGGCAAGCACGGGGGGACACCCCCCCTCCGGCCTCTAGCTGCTACTGCAAGACTCAGCATGAGCCATGGCCTAGGGGACAGGCGAGGATCAGGGTGCAAGGTCTCTGGAGCACTGATCGCTAAAGGGCGCAATTGGATGCAGTAGGGCCACGGTGTGAATTCAGCGTTAGTGGGTCGGTGGCCCTACCAGGTGGAGCCCTGTGCAGATCAGGCAGTGCCAGGACGAGCTCCCCCCACCCCCATTAGCCCTGCCCTATAGGGGTTCCACGGCTCGCCCAGAGAGCCCCAGTACAGCGGCTTCTTGGTGAACATTTGAGAGTTGCATTTATCAATGTTGATCAATGCAAAGTACTGCACACTGGAAAACATAATCCCAACTCGACGTAGAAAATGATGGGGTCTAAATTAGCTGTTACCACTCAAGAAAGAGATCTTGGAGTCACTGTGGATAGTTCTCTGAAAACATCCACTCACTGTGCAGCGGCAGCCAAAAAACGAACAGACTGTTGGGAATCATTAAGAAAGGGATCAATACTAAGACAGAAAATATCTTATTGCTTCTATATAAATCCACGGTACGCCCACACCTTGAATACTGCATGCAGATGTGGTCGCCCCATCTCAAAACAGATCTATTGGAATTGGAAAAGGTTCAGAAAAGGGCAACAAAAATGACGAGGGGACTGGAACGGCTTCTGTAGGAGGAGAGATTAATAAGACTGGGACTTTTCAGCTTGGAAAAGAGACGACTAAGGGGGGATATGACAGAGGTCTATAAAATCGTGACTGGTGTGGAGAAAGTAAATAAGGAAGTGTTATTTACTCCTTCTCATAACACAAGAACCAGGGGCCACCAAATGAAATTAATAGGCAGCAGGTTTAAAACAACCAAAAGGCAGTATTGCTTCACACAATGCACAGTCAACCTGTGGAACTCCTTGCCAGAGGCTGTTGTGAAGGCCAAGACTATAACAGGGTTCAAAAAAGAACTTCATGGAGGATAGGTCCATCAGTGGCTAGTAGCCAGGATGGGCAGGGATGGTGTCCCGAGCCTCTGTTTGCAGAAGCTGGGAATGGGAGACAGGGGATGGATCACTTGATGATTCCCTATTCTGTTCAATTCCCTCTGGGGCACCTGGCATTGGCCACTGTCGGCAGACAGGACACTGGGCTAGATGGACCATTGGTCTGACCCAGTCTGGCCGTTCTTCTGTTCTTCTGAGAGGGTGAGGCATATCCATGGGGATCCAGCCTGGGGCCCAGCCAACTCGTTTCACAGGGTATACCTATACTGCAATTAAACACCCACAGCTGGCCTGTCTTATCAGACTTGG